CCATTTTGGACATTCCTGTTGAGGGAGGTGTGGTCGTTGAGGACCCGGATTCAGAGACATGCCAGGCTTACTGCATGGAGATACTTTCGGTCATAAAGCCTGACCTAATTGCGTCCGTGTAGCAGCGTGGTTCGGTGGCCGAAGCCTCTGTTGGGGAGATATTTAGAGGTAAAAATAAGTTGGCTTCAGATGAGGCTGGTGCCTGGATTTGGGTGCTGCTGGCTACCACGTTGTTCGTAGACAAGAGTGGTAGTAGAGTGAGTCCGAAGCTCCTACATGAGGTGCTCGACGGCTTGGATGCCATTGGAGGTTACTCCTGGGGGTCGGCTACGCTGGCATATTTATACCGACAGTTAGGTATTGCCAGCAGAGGAGACTCCAAACAACTTTCCGACTGCTTGACTCTTCTGCAGTCTTGGAGTATTTCCCTGATTTCCGACCCCAGGAGGGGCGTTTATCTCTCGGACCTAACGAGTCCGCACGAGCTCGGGTGTGGAACGCAGGGACGGGTCATAGGTCAGAGGACCATCTGATGTCTATCCGTCGTAAGCTGGACAGACTCACTGCCACCAGTGTACGTGAAGTTATTTAATTTAGTTACTCGTTATTTAAAATAATATAAATATTCTTATAAATACTTTTATGCCATTGTGAACAGGTGCAATGGACGCCATACAGCAGCTCATGGCCAGATGAGATAGAGCAGAGGACTCTTTATTGCGGACTGATTCGGTACCACGATATTGTCGAGCCGTACTATCCTGTACGGTTTCTGCGGCAGTTGGGGTATGTCCAGACCATCCCTCCCCCTATACAGACTCCGACCGCAGTAAACCGTGCTTGGCAGGTAGTATAGATGATTATTTAAAATTTTATACACGATTAATTAGAATTTTATAATCGTGAATGATTAACTAACAGTTATTACTGTGCTTGGCAGTCGAGGCTGTACAAAGTCGAGCATCTTGATGTCGGCGCAGTAAATATGTGGAACCAGTTCCCGATGTCTCAGACTGTCAACACCAGCTTGTGTAGGGTGGCCACAGATGATCGAGGGGAGGCCGATCCGGAGTACTTGCTGTGGTACCGTCGGGTTTCTCATCCTACTGTCTTGGGTGAGGGTCTGCCTGACGAGAGAGAGGTCCCTACGCGTGGGAACACCGACTATGTAAGACATTCGCAAGCTTTTAATTAATAATATTTGATTAGAATAAATTTTATTTTAATAAATAATGAGCATATATTTTTATTCTTATTTTTTTGTTTTGTAGTGGATGGACCGTGCTTTGACTCTTACCTCGAGGACTCTGCGGGGTTTAACAGCTCATGATCCTCTGCAGGCAGTGCAGTTATCAGACGAATTGGCTAAGCTTAAGTTGGATTACGCCAATTCCAAATAAATGTGTAATGATGTTATGATGTTTTTTTTTTGTCAAACATTATGTGTATCAGACGAATTTTGTCAAACATGATGTTTTTTTTTGTCAAACATTATTGTTCTCATCCCACACGAGTTGTGTGAAAAAACATTCAATTTTCGAAATACTTTCAGGTCCACACGACCCATCACACGACAGAGTAACACGGGTCATATGAGGTCACACGACTCGTGTGCCAAGGGACACGGGTCGTGTGAAAAGGCCGTAGTTAATTCGACATTTTTTTCATGAGTCACACGACTCGTGTGGCATCGGACACGGGTCGTGTGACACACACACGACCCGTGTCACTTGCCACACGAGCCGTGTGAAAAAGTTGTAGCCAATTTGACAATGTTCTCATGAGTCACACGACTCGTGTGCCAAGTGACACGGGTCGTGTGGCACTAACACGACTCGTGTCACTTGACACACGAGTCGTGTGAGAAAGCCGTAGCCGGCTGGTCATTTTTCTCATGAGTCACACGACTCGTGTGCCAAGGGACACGAGTCGTGTGATGTCACACGACCCGTGTCCCTTGGCACACGAGTCGTGTCAACCCACACTACGCGCGACATGTTTTATTTTTTATTTTTTTTAATAAACAAGAATAAAATGAAAGCATATAATGAAAAAAACATAATCTTTTTAAAGTTCCCAACAACATAAAACCGAACATCGAATGAAAGAAAATATGTCATACATCAGGGGTTATTTTGAGCATCAAACCATAATTGCAACCTAGACTGGTACTGATTCTCCCAATTCTCCACCGAAGAAGTTCGGTGTCTGAACCACATACTATGAATAGGCGGTAATGGACAATCCGGAGTCAAATCTAACCGAATGTAGTGTTCGTAGCTACCAAGATGACATATGCAAATCTCACGGCGTGGCCCTGTGCTCGTTGATGCTGCAACGAGCGGCAATATTGTGCAGCTGAACTGGTTGGGCAAACGACCATCGCGACCAGAGCCTAAAAGAACGACAACCACATTAAATAGGGTTGCAACAGGGTAGAGGTCGGTTGGAGTGTCCATCCAGTGATTCGTGCCACAAGCGCTCCCGTCCCACCTTAGAAAATTAAAATATTAGAATTTGAATAATAATAATTATAATATAAAAGAAAAATAAATATAAAATATAAATATTAGCAAAATAATAATAATAAAAATAAAAGCGCCCCTGTCCCACCTTATCCGAGCGAGTGCCGTGTCGATATCCCTGTAATAGATGTACTCGTACAAGGCACGATGGCTGTAAATCTCATTGGCAACGTTCTCTCGTACGAGTTGCCACATCTCCTGGTCCCCGTAAATGTAACTCGCGATGACCCGCCATCCGCAGTTCCCATCTGCTTTCACATTCAAGTAGCTCACTACGTAGTCCAACATATGCCAGGGAACACTGCTGTACTTAAAGCTAAATATATCTGTCTCGGTACCAGCTGGAACATCATAATAATTTCACGTCACAATAAAATAATATAATTTTGTAAATTAACATTTTAATTAACGTTCAACTTTATAAAAAATAAATGTCACCTTGGTGTGCCTCTTGTGACGGTTCAGAAGATTGGCTGGTTCTCGGTCCACACGAAGAAGTGCGTCCACGCGAAGAAGTGCGTCCACGCGAAGATGTTCGTCCACGCGAAGAAGTGCGTCCACGTGAAGAATTGCTTGTACGAACTTGCGAATTATCCCTATACTCCCATCGCGATGCTTCACGCTTAGTAGAATCAGTTTTTTTGGGACGACCTCGCGTATTTTCCTTAACCTCCGGTTCTCCATATGCTTGTTGCTCCGGGTAAAGCTGACCGTAAATGAGATTATTGCAGTACCGCATCGTCGCAGGATCGCTCGCTTCAACCTCTTTGGCAAGGGTCCGAAAAAACTCAACATCTGTCCAGGCACCCTGATTATGCTGGCTCTGGTGATTTGTCCCTAAAAGTATATGATCCAAAAATTGAAACAATTAAACAAAGTAATATACTTTAATGTGTAATTTAAAATGAATCAGAAAGTAGAAAATTATAAATAAACATTAACCAGATTTTCAGAGAGTCACTAGTCACACGACTCGTGTGAAGATGTGACACGAGTCGTGTGAGATCACACGACTCGTGTCACAAGGCACACGAGTCGTGTGAAAACCCCGTGGCTTTTTATCATTTCTGTTGAGTAGGCACACGACTCGTGTGACCGGATGACACGAGTCGTGTGAATGGCACACGACTCGTGTCACTTGGCACACGAGTCTTTTGAAAAGCCCGTGTCTTTTTATCCATTCTCCTCAGTAGGCACACGACTCTCGTGACCATGTGACACGAGTCGTGTGAAGGTCACACGACCCGTGTCACTAGGCACACGAGTCGTGTGACCTGCCTGCACCTTGTTTTTTTTTTATTTTTTTTTCAAAGTAATATACTTTAATGTGTAATTTAAAATGAATCACAAAGTAGAAAATTATAAATAAACATTAACCACAAATTACCCGGTTCTAACATCTCTAGTGTCTTCCAGAACTCGTGGATCATGTCAATACCAATCGCCATTTTAGAATCATGTGCTGTACGAAGCGTACATGCACAAGGAATTCCATGTGTGGTAGGCAATACACAGCCGCAGCGCAAGTAAACTTCATGGCTCAAGTCTCACATCCTTGTTAGCTCATCGTTCAATAAATTCATACAGTAATGCGAGACTCTCAATGTCAAGCACGCAAAAGTCAATCCCGTATATGCCGTACTCTTCCTAAGTCTCGAAGACTCAAGTGCTGTCCTGTTAATACATTACAAAACAAATAATAATATAATATACTTATATAATATACTATATTATACTTATATATAATATATTTGAGGAATGTACCTGATTTCAGTCAATTGAGACTCGATCTCCTTATCAATCTTATGCCACACTGTATCTAGCGCGCCAGTCGACGTGCGAAGCCACTGCTTCAACACAGAGTGGGCACTTTCCACCCTACAGGTAGTTGTGTTGCCAAAATGTGTTACTTGGTTCGTCCAGGCTTTCACAAACTTCTCCTTGTGGCCTAGCCACGTCTGATCTAGATATTGTACCACTTTTGAATCATTCCCGTACTTTGCATTCAATTGAGCTACGGCAGTGTCGTACTCATCCGACGTACTGGCATCCATAATCGACTTCCACCGACCGCGCAAGAACCTCTCAGATAAATTTTTATCTTTCCCAAACAAGTTGTACACTTTGTTTTCCACATCCTTGTTGATGTGCCACGTGCAGAGTAAGTGGGCAGATTGGGGAAAATGCCTCCTAATAGGAGTCAATAAGCCCAACTCTCTGTCACTGACAACCGCATTAGGATGCACCTGAGCAGCGTAAAAAATTAGTGAGACACGCAAAAAAAACCTCAATTTTTTTTTACCATATTGCACAAAGTACGTTTATATACTAATTAAATTAATCATGTACTTCATATAAATTCTTACCGTATAGCCTATGAGAAGTCTCAACTTGTCGAGAACCCAATCATAACTGGCCTCTTTCTCGTCCTTCATGAGGGCATACGCAATTAGAAAGTTATTGTTGCACGGCGTCATGCCAATCATCTCGACCAACGGCATCTTGTACCTGTGAAAATGAGACCAAAAGAAATAAATTATAATCACATTAAATCTAATCCAAAATACAAATTTAAATTAATAGTAATAACATATCTATAAATTTAAAATACCTGTTGGTTTTGTACGTCAAATCTATGCCGACAAACCAATAATAAGTCCAGAATATACTCACTGAATCAGGATGGGCCATGAATATGTGTGTCAGCGCATTTGTATTCGGATCGACATTTGTATAAACTATGTAGTTGCTGCTGTTTGCCAAATGTAGAAGTTGGGTAGGAACGTCCCTACCCTCAAAACTTTCCTTACGCAACCAGTCTCTATAGTTATATACATGTCGCCGATTAGTATGGTTGTGTGGAGTTTTTTCATGGACGACGGCCAAAATATTTGCTGGTGTCACATGTGCAGCAGTCATTTCACGAATAATTTTTTTGGATGACACGCTTATGCCGCTCGACTGTCGATGGCCCTCAGGATACACGGCAAATGAATGATTATGGTATCCCTTCGTTTCGTCTTGACTCGTGTGGATCATCCAGTATGTCGATCTGGCAACACGCTTTACTTGTATCTCAAAAGGGCACTGGCACGCTTTCGTTTTTGAACGTCTCGAAACAACTTTATTCATATCTACGTTTTTGCCTCTATAACGTTCGCCTCGATCGCACTTCAAGATCTTCAGCCTTCCGGGTTTTTTGTGTTTCGAAATAGTCAAAAAGAAACCATTCAGAATTGCCGTACTTTTTGCATCCTTAGTAGCCTCCACATCACTAATAAACAGCGTAGTTGTATTGAAAGCGGAACGGTAATCAACACCATCTCCTCCAAAATCTTCTAAAGACACCTGCAATGTATTTAATAATTTTAAAGCATTTAAAAATAATAAAAAAATAAAAAAAATAAAAAAATGATGTCCGGCCGGTCGGACTGGCCGAACCGGGTCTAACCGGCCGTCGCGGCCGGACACCAAGTGGGTCGTACGACCGGTCGGTTAGTACAACGACAGGTCCGTACGGCCACAATTTTCGCACGGCCAGGGGCGTGTCCGGTCGAACCAGCCGGACGCCTTTGTGAATGTCCGGTCCGGTCGGCCGGACACCGCCGGTGCCGTGCGGTAAAGCTGGCCGGACAATTTTTTTTACCTCTGAACTGCTGGACATCTTTCGGACACAAGAAATGAAAAGGGAAAAATCGTCCAAGGGGGGCGGTGACTAGTAATAAGGGGGCCGGTAAATAGTAATGCCCTATATAAAAAACCCACCATGTGAAATATCCCGTCGCTATCCTATATAATTTCTGAATGTGTTGAGTTTAACCTATTTAGCGAAAAAATATGTTTCGTAGTTTGGTTTGGATAAAAAATAACATTATTCTAAATCAATAGTTTTAAGTTTGAATATTCCAAAAATATTAAAAACTAACTTGGTAATTCCATAATAGTTTGACTGATATAACCCTTTGTATAGGAACTTTTAGTAATGAATAATGATATTGATTGATTAATATAACCTTGATTTATTTTGGAAGCTCTCAATCGGTTCATTAGTTTCTATAAAAAGCTCAAATTAGCCTAATAGATACATTTATTTAATTTTAGATAATTGTTGTTGTTATTATTATTTATTTTCAAAAATAATTTTTTTAACACGTATTCGTATAGTACACGACTATTGTACTAGTTGTTTTTAAATACAAATAAAAATGTTATATCATCTTTTCTGGTCAAAAGTTATGGAGTATTTACTTTTTCAAATCAATTTGACAAAATATTTCCTAAATTAATGATTCCTAGATTTGCATTTCATATTATTTTGTTCGTGTGTTGTCCTTGTCACAGGCAAAATCTTTGATATGCTGCATACAAATTATCTATATTTGGCTAAAATTTAAACCAATACATTTATTTTATGTCATATGTACAAAATTATTTATTTATACTTGGACTAGAATTATGTGCCTACTGTATTGTTTTGCTAGATATTATAATAAATTTTCAAACCAATTCATATAATGATTTTATAATAATTTTATTTTTTAATCTATACTAATAAATATCCACGGAAAAACTATAAAGATAAATATAATTATTTATTTTATTTATGCAATATAAGATGTCAGGAGCGTAGCCACATGGTAGCTCACCTGGCACCAACCTGGTCTATTTTTTTTATTTTACCTAAATTTGTAGTAGTAAAAAATATTTTTAGCCCATATTTTACAAATTTAATTTATGATAAAATCATTTAGTCCATATTAATTTGAATTTATTTTATATTAAACCAAAAAGTTATATATTTTTTTACATGACTCGAACCTTTTATGTATTTTTTTGTGGTTATAGCTTACTTTGTCATTTTTCTTCTTTGATTTCATTTTTAATGTTCGGTTTAAAACACAATTAATTTATATTATTTATATTACTTTATATGTGATATTAATTAGTTGTTAATTTTTAAATAAATAATATTTGAATATGTAAAATATATAATTGAATTTCATTAATTTGCGTAGCATATTCAATGAAACAACAGTTGGAATTCCACAATTAAAGTAAAATATCATATAACAAGTATGTTAATTAAATTAATCTGTCTTCTCAATAAAATGACATTTGGACTTCCATAATTTAATTGAAATATCATATAATAAGTATGTTGCTTTGACATGCCTAATAATAAAATGTTAATCTCACAGTAGTATTTGAAATAATTTATATAATTTTTTTAAGTCAAATTTAAGTAAGCAAGAAGAAACTATGCGACAATATTATTTTTTGATTTACTAAAACAAAATGACATATTTTTCATTTATTTTGTAGTTTGCATTAAACACTTAAGAATTTATCATGCTTTAAATTTTCACATAATATAAGTGAAGCCAAATTGAGTCGAACATGTCGTATTCGAACTTGTGCTCGTCAGTGTTCTAAAAGTCGTTAGGTGCTCGACCAACGCCTAGCACCTAGAGCGCCTAGGCGGGGCCAAGAAATCAATATTAAATACCTTACTCTTTATTTATTTTGACTACATACGAAATAAAGTTATCTCAACCTATAATAAATCGACACATGTAAGTCCAAATAATAAAATTAATATGTTTTAAAGAAAACATGAGAAAAAAATAATGTAATTTGTATTTAAAAAAATAAATAAAAAAAACTGAAAAATTAGCGCCAAGCCAAGCCCGCCCAGGAGCACTTAGGGCCGCCCAGCCGCCTGACCGATTTTTCCTGCCAATTTGTGCAAATCGAAGACGTCCGGGCACCGCGTAGGCGGATTTTTAGAACAATGATGCTCGTATAATAAATGGGCAAGTTCAAATCGTTTAAAAAATCGAGTGAAATCAATTAAGTTTCGCTTGTTTGAATTAATCTTTTATTTTATGTTTATTATATGAATGAGTCAATATTGACTTTTTACGAGCCGAACTGTGTACTCTCTAACAAATCGGTTCTAGCATCCCAGGGTACAAAATATTTCTGGCTACGCCCCTGATAGATGTCAAATCAAAGCTAGTCTATAAATGATAACTCATTTGATATATCATATATGAAAAACTGATAACAGATACCAAAATTATCAACTTTTAAAATGTGCTTGTAATTGAGTTACCAAAGAGTTTTATAAATTTAACAATCTTAATA